GACTTCGCTTAGCGAGCTTAATTGCTTACATGGAAGAGTATGCTGGATCATCATCGTCGTCAGCGTCACCTCTTGTCACATCGCAACGCTCGCCCCCATTTGTTAATGAGGTTTCATTCTCTCGATTTCAGTAACATTGTGTTGAAGGTAATGACATACGGAAGCGGAACGTAGTCAGCTATGAAAACTGACGAATATCCAGTGGCTGTGAAGAAATAGACAAAATGTATACGTTCCGTGACTTTATAAGTAATCATACCATCTGTCAGACTTATGCCGTGCAAGGAAAACACTGAGACCACACATAAAAAATAAAATCTGACGCGCAGAACATGTTGCTGAATTTTCCTACAACTGATCGGCGTCTCGCATCACTGAATGGTACCTGGAAGAAGGTAAACAACCGTTTGGACAATCTCCGAAGAAATGGCTTACGTATATAGAACAAGCGGTGTGTTACAACAGCAGTGCTTGGCAAGCAGTACTGGACGTTTGAGAGTGGCAACAACATCTACTAGATTCCCTTGCTAATGTTCGGGTGGTCTTGATCAAATGCAAATTAATTTCCCATTACGAAATTGACCAGCTTATGACCCATTTAAATTATTATCAATCAGAAAAAGATTTAGAGAAAAATGTTCTGAAGTAACAGATAGTATTTTTCTTGTTTCAGCGGGCATCATCAAACGCACTAAAAGAAATACCTACAGCAGGCACTGACAAAACTGAAGATAATCAAGTATTCGGAATTCGAGTGACCGATGCACCTGTAAGATTTCCTCAAACTGTCAAGCCAGATGTTAGCGCCATGGGAACTTCAACCAGGTAAATGTTGACCCTAGCAGATCCTCGAATTCAGAGAATAAAGAGCGCCCGGATTCGGACAAAAGGATCCCCTAATAAACGATATCTTCTTTATCGATAGTCAAAATCATAAAGATTTGTTAGCTCTTCTGTCAAAATTTTCACGCATCCGTACGTGAAATGCCGACATGCGTGAAAGTTCATATCACGTTTCTGGTGCTGCACTTGCCAGGGAGCATGCTAACGAAAATTCAGCGCCAAAGCTTGCTTAGTTGCCGAATTTATTTCTATAAAACGAAGAAGCTTGATATGATCAAGAACTCTACCATCCAATAAAAATGCTAGGTGAAGGAAAAAATGGGATAGGTGCAGTTTCTGATTTCCTGAAAATTTCTACGGTAGTCATTCTTTTCGAAAAAAGTGTATTATTCTATCGTGTCTTTTTTAATTTATTAATTTATTGATTTTCGTGGTTAGCCGCTTTCATAGCGTCGTTCTCAAATCACACATCTGGTATCCTTTTCAGTTACTTTAATTAGTGTTGTACTTCCTAGCTGACAATCTGATGATCATCCTGGTGTTCGTTTCGTATCAGCAAAAACTGGAAATTTTTTTAGACTGGTACCAAGCCGCCAATATCCAGATATAGTACCGGTTATTCCGCCACTGATAACATCGGCAAAAAATAAGGAAGCTGGTGTTGTTTTGAGTATTGGTGAGAAACTACGCACCATGATGGTGAACAAACGAGTAAGCTCTCTTATTTCTGGCTGTCCATGAAAAATTCTCCAGTTAACTTTTTAGAGGGAAAAATTCATTAAAGAAGTGAGTTTATTAATTTTACTAGAAATTTTTGCAAATAAGAACACGGCAACACCTCGGTTTAGTTCCTAGTATTTCCACCCCGTCACATATAGCGAACACGAAGAGTTGGCTGGCTCTAATTTTTATCTTTTGAATTTTTACTAAATTAACACCCAAATGACTGTTGTACGATATCTCATGTTAGTATGTTAATTGGACGCTCTGGCACGTCAGGTGCAAAATAAATCAAAAAATTTTGTTTAAATCTGAAAACTCGAAATCCATTTTCCGCAAAAATAAAATAGATTAGTCACTTATAAATACACGTTGCCACTTTTCTAATGCCGATAAGTTGTCACCGGAAGTCGATATTTTGATTGTTTATTTTAGCCTTTATTAAGAAAAAAGACTGCTTTGTGCAGCAATTGCCAAAGAACTTTCAACTCTATATTTTCAGGATTCAGCTGGTGATTACGAAGCTTCAGCAGCTGATGCTAGGCGAAAAATGCGTGGACGCAACAGGATCAAGGTGATACCAGAATTTTACACTATATCGAACTTTATTCACTAGTAAAATCATTTTTAATATCTGTCTAGGTTTCTTAACTTTGCTCTAATAACATTAAACATAAATATAATTAGTCCTTTTAACTCCAGGTGCCTATTTTTGCTGTGAATTTTTAGTTGAGACATACGGCATCTTTTCTGAAGATGACTCCGATGACCGTTTTCTGTTTTACAGGCAGCCATTGCCCATTGGTTAATATTCAAGTGATCATTCTGCCTTGTCTGATTTAGCTTTTCTCATAGTTTACAAATCATCATTTTCGCTTTTAGAGAGGCAGTCTGTCAAGTTTGGAAAAGAATTTGCTCAGAGAGGATGATCACGAGAACAAAAGAACATTCAGCGCCATCATGCGCCAGGTATCTAACCATTTTCAGCAGACTTGGTTACCTTACTGTGGGACTAGAAGAACCCCATGGCTCCCAGGAGAGGGCCATTTCAATTTTTTGCGATAGCCTTATTTTTTGAAGAGATCGGCGCCAAGTGACGAAGAGCCAGCAAACGGTGGAGCATTCGGAGGAAAGCACCGGGATAAGGGCCATCTGGACAAAACATCGACTTGCGAAGATCCTTTTGTCGATCCTGACGCCAAAGGTAAAGCTTGAAATTGCTCTTAGCGAAACTGGAAAAACAGTGTTTTCGTATTTGGAAACGAGTTTCTAGTCTTGTCATTTATGGTCTGTACATTGCACAGAATTCATCAACATAATGTGAACAAGGTGGCTAATAAAAGCCCTCTGAGCCACTCTCTAGTAAGGTGTCTCAACACCTGGGATCTTGAGTTCTCAAAAATCCAGCTTACCATTCCTTGAAAAATATCATCGACATTCGCAAATCGGGTTTCATCAAAGCGTCCATGAACTGAGTGGGGAATTCCTCTCTCAGCCTTGCAGACTATATTAGGTTATCTAAATCAGTTGTCATTTACTGCTCAACTATGCAGCTAGTAACTCTAGCTTCGACACCTGCTGGCAATTTCGACTTTCGTTTTTCTTGCCGTAGGATTTCTGGGCTAAAGCCTCCCCACAGAGTTTACACGAGTTTACAGCTAAGAAATGAAACACAGTGTGCACTATGACCTGCTCACCAGTACGTGTAATACCTTGATAAAGTATCTTCTTGTTATGTTAAAACCAAAATTTGTATAGCTGCTGGTCGGAAACGACGACATTCGCTATTTACGAGGCATCGAAGCAGCGCCGCTTATCTGCAGAAGGACGACAAGGGAAGTACGCTGTACAGAGACAACATTTAGCAACCTCATCATGCCACTTTTTCGTCAGACTTTTTGTACAAACGAAGTTGACGAATGATTCCTGCTACTTTTATGTAAAGTTGATTCTCCTACCCCTCTTTCGATAGGGTGCAGTTGTGTGGTCAGTATCTTTCTGGATTTGGTAACACGCACCTTGGTCGGCCGCATTTTACAGAATGGCTCGCTAATTGGCAGCTTTTCCAGTTGCTTTGACCAGTGCTCCGTCGCCTAGCGATCAGCTTGTTGGTGGTCCTGTTATCCTTTTTGTTTCTTGACGAATTTACCAATTCAACGATACTTCAGCTATTTCGAGATGAAGTATTTTCAACTATTTCGAAATGAAAATTTTGTTGTGAACATTTATAAACCTTTTAGCGAGTATCATGACAGTCTTGAGAAACATTGCAAAATATCTATTAGTCAGTGCATGCTTTGAAATGAAAGTTAGGATCTAGCACTTCGCGAAAAGTAAACTTTTCTCTCAAAATTACTGCTAAAAAAAACAATGAGAGTTCATTTTTCACACTCATCCTGAAGAAATTGGCTGGGTGTTGTTGCAATAAGAATATCCACGGATTTACGAATCGAGGCTTACGAAGTCCAATTGCGTCACCAAGCTAGCACATTTAACGGGCCGGAAAACTTTTTATTCTGCTTCTCTTTCGTTTTGTCTTTTTCCGTCCGTTCTATTCGTCTTCACTACGACATTCCATCATTTATTTATCAAACAGTGCTTCTTCCTCCAATTCCACTTCCTGCTCCTTTCCTCCTGGATTTCCTCCTTTCATTCTTAACAGCATCCAGAACGCAAAAGCCTCCAAATTTAGAGTCTCGATAGCATTTTTGAGAAACGTTTTATTTCTGTTACTCTGGATATTTATCTCCTCATCTATCCGGGAAATATACCTGGAGAAAAATTTCACGTTTTCAAAAACTGTTTATTTGTTTGTTGTGTTAATAAAGGCAAAAAAAAAAAAAAATAAAGCTCGCCCCAGAAGAAGAGACCTAGTAGTCTTCGGTGAAAAGCCAGACGAGGAACACAGTTTGAAGGAACACAAATTCTTTAAATAACACCAACACGGGGAGTAAACATGTAGCAGTATAATTACAGAAAAACATAAAGAGAACACCCGTATTATGATAAGAGCTCATCCAGAGTGTCTTGATTAATCACGAATGCGGCTACTCAGCTACATGCCTGGCTAAAGGCACATCCCAATGACAGGTAGCAGTGTAGGGAAAGGCAAAATTACTCAGTGCTGACCTGAGTATTACGGTCTGGGCTATTTGAGGGATCCATGTTTTTTCAAAACCCCTTCCACAGCCAGCAAAAATAGCAAACTCCTTGATCTAGTTTATAGCTGACAGAGGGACTGTCCGCCTCCTGTCGCTCATTCTGGACGACTTTGCACCTCCCATCATTGACAAGTGCCAAAATCGGCAGTATGGAGAAGCAAGCGCAGAAAATCCATCAAAAGATACCAGTTACTGGACCAAAAAAGACGGAAAATCCCTCAAATAATCTTCTATACTGAAAATTTCACCTTTTTTCCAAAAATTTCTACCTTTTATTTATACACTA